ATATATATATACATATGCATACACATGTATGAATATGTGTATATATATATATGTACATGTAGAGCCATGAGCCCAACATCGCTAAACCCCAAAAGCCTGACCTCCTGCAGCTTTGACCCTTGCACATGTGCTATCACGTAGGGTGTAGGGTGTAGGGTTTAGGGTTGAGGGTTTAGGGTTCAGGGTTTAGGGTTCAGGGGGTTTGGGGTGTTGGGGTTGTGGGTTGAGGCACCCCAGCCTCCATTTCTGAACCCATGATCACCCAAGGCTCTGCAAGGATTTCTGCACGGCGCGTGGGAGAACACTCTGAGCCGCTGGGAAAGGTAGCGCAAGCGATCAGGCATGAAACCTCAAGTCCCCGAGCAAGGCAAAACAATACGGGGGTTTCAGAAAACAACAATCCGAAGCACAACAGAAGCAATTGGAAGCTTATTGAAGCGAGGACCTCAATTTGGGAGTTCATCTGAAAGCCGCCTTGAAATCGATGGGTCTAGGGTCTAGACCATAGGCCGTGAGGTATCCAGAACACGACCATCTGACTCGAAGGGTGGGAGGCCGTCATGTGAGGGAATGCCCTCATCCCGAATTAGACCTCCAGATTCAGGTTGGTGGCTAGAGGGTTCAGGGTTTTAGGATTTAGGGGTTCCGGGTTTCGGAGAAGGATTCTGGGGTTGGTGGTCTACCGGTAGACTTGAAGGAGCGATGAGTGGTCTTCTGATACAGGCAGGCATACGAATGCATGTATCTACCCGTAGACTTTTCAGTCTAATCCTTGGTTGTGCTGATCCTCCACGTGGGGCACGGGGCATCGAGTTTGGGAGAAACTCTGTCACCCAAACCCCTGCAAACTCTTCGTGTCAAACCCTGACACAACAGACACTGACATGACCTCATTACTCTGAGCCCTCAGCCGTCAACCCTAAACCCCAGCCCTAGCCTCAAAGCCTTGACTTTACCCTAAACCCGAAACCCTGAACCCTAAACCCTAAAACCTGAACCCTGTATATCCTAAGCCTTCCCTAAGCATTCAATGGCAGTCGGAATCGAGTTGTCTTTAAAGCCTCGGGCGAGGGGCGCCGGAATTCAAGATGCCCTTCCTAGGGAGTTTAGGGTTTGTTTCTTTGTTTCGTTAAAGGGCCTTTTTCGTAGCTTGCGCTCCAAAGCCCATGTTGGGCAGGGTTTAGGGTTTAGGAGCAAACTTCCACCACTTTCAGCACGCATTGTCTTGCTGACAAACTTCTCAACTCACACCGGGAGTGCGCAGCGTCTTGCTGCACGCACCTTTCACTAATTGGGATGCAAAGTAAAGGACAGAAGTTACAAAACAGCGGGCGCGTCCTGAAGCGACGAAGCTGGGAGTTCGATAGCCCGGAATAAGCTCTAGCTCTAACATCCATGGGGTTTAGGGCTTCAGGGCTTGAGGGTTTCCTGAGATGTCCTAGCCACATCTGCAGACATCCTCAACCAATGCATCATGGTCCTAAGCGCCAGCTACACGAAGAACTAGTATCAGCCGCAAGTCCTCCACTCGAGATCCGGACCCTGAACCCTGAACTCGACACCTTGAGTAGACTAACTTGAAACCGTACGCCCGAAACCCTACAGCTGAAACCCCAACCCCATAAACCCTAAACTCTGAACCCCCGAAGATTATAAAGTTTAAAGCCTGAAACCCCAAACCCATAAACACTAGACTAAACTCTGAGCCCCCCGCTAAACTTTAAAGTTCAAAGCCTAAAACCCCAAAGCCATGAAGATCCCAGCGTCGTCTGTGCCCAGGAAGATGGGAGCATGCGAGCTCTTTACGGAAGGCGCCCGAAGGACTGGGTTCAGGTCTGGGTTGAGGGTTTTTAGGGTTTTAGGGTTTTGGGTGATCTGGTAACTGGGCTTGGGGCTCAGGGTTTAGGATATAGGGTTCTCTTGATTGAGTTTGGGGTTTGGGGTGCAGGTTTTGGAGTGTTTGGGTTAAGGGTTTAGGGCTGGGCCTAAGGAGTTTAGGGTTTAGGATTGTTTGGGGTTTAGGGTTTAGGGTTTAGGGTTGGGGTGTTCTCTTGGTTGGTCCCAAAATTCCGAAGCTCAGGAAAGAAAACTGAAGACCCTTTCAAGGCTGAGGATGTAGGATTTAGGGGCTTCTGAATTTAGGGGTCAGGGTTTAGCGTCCAGTTCTCAGGACTGAAGACCCTAGAAGACCCTAACCCCTAATCCCTAAACCCTAATCCCTGAACCCTAAACCCTAATCCCTACACCTAATCCCTAAACCCTAATCCCCTGAACCCTAAACCCTAAGAAATCTTCAGGTCAACGGTACACCCCAAAGCCTAAGCTCTGACAAACACAGCTTCCTGGCAGGGGCTTTGTAGGGTTTTCATGTGGGCTTAGGGATTCGGGTTTAGGGTTGAAGGGGTTCACATGGGTTTGTAACTTTCATGTGGGCTTAGGGATTAGGGTTTAGGGTTTAAGGGATTCGCGTGGATATCGAAGGCTTTGATAGGGTCTTGTATGGTTCTTTATGGTTGAGGGTACAGGGTTTAAGTCATTTGAAGTCAGGAAACTTTGCAGGAAATCTGTTCAAACGAAGAGGTTACAAGGAAGCGTGTGAGAAGACGTAACTACAAGAACAACCATACCCACAGTATGAAGATCCCTGATTTGTGTCTTAGGCTGTGGCCCAAACACAGATCAGTTTGCATGTTTTGTTCTCAGGGTGCTGAGCAAACGACTTCAGGCAGTGGGAAAGGATGCAAGGCCACACGTTCGTACTGGAATATACAAGCAGTCCTTCAGCAATCGGCGTTGCCAGAAAATCGGTTAAGATGACGCGTCTGTTTCCGCAGTCCTGCAAAGCTGAACGGATTGCATTGCATCGGCTTCGGGTGTCATTTGTGGGATTTAGGGCCTGCGGCTTAGTGTTTCTGGCTTCTTGGCTATCTTGGTTCAGGGTTTAGGATTTAGGGTATAGGGTTTAGGGTTCAGGGTTTAGGATTTAGGGTTTAGTTTGCTGTCAACTCAAAATCCTCCAGGGGCCTTAAGAATTACATTTACTACTTTGGGGGGGGGGGGGGGGGNNGGTGTTCCTTATTATACTTATAGTATAATAGTTAAATAATTGTCTATATTGTTTCAGGTGTTACCTATTATAAGTATAGCAGAATATACCCCAAAATCCTGTGTCTGATCATAAACGCCCCTACGTTAAACCCCTGAACCCTGAACCCTAGATCCGATCCCGAAGACCTGGAGAACAGAGCAGGCTTTTTCCAAAGGCCAAAAGCACCCACGAAGAGCAAAGCAGGATAGCACCACAACTCCCCTGAACCCTGAACCCTGAACCCCTAAACCCTAAACCCTAAACTGCAAACCTTAAACCGTATAAACCCCTGAACACTCTCTACCTATGTATATTTAAACCTTAACGTCAAATCTGACAGTTTCAGCCTGAATCCTAGATCCTAAAACCTAAATGTTAAATCCTGAATCCTAAATTTTTAAAGCCCTGAGCCACAGAACCCTAAATCCTAAAGCCCGGAGCCATAGAACCCTAAATCCTAAATTCAAAGCCATGAGCCACAGAACCCCACATCCTAATCCTAAATCCTAAAGCCCTGAGCCCCCTGATTCCTGAAGCCCTGAACCTAAATCCTAAATCCTAGAGCCTTGAACCCTAGAGCCTTAAATCCTAAATCCGAAATCTTAAAGCTCCGATCCTCAGAACCCTAAATCCTAAATCCTAAATGCAAAATCCTAAATCCTGAATCCTATCTCCTAAATCCTGAATCCCTGAGCCCTACAGCTCTAAATCCTAGATCCTACAGCCCTGTGCCCTAAATCCTCAATCCAGAATCCTAAATCTTAAATCCTACACCGAATTGCAGCTGTATTGTGGCTACTGTCTTCAAAAAACAACGACCGGCAACAAGACGGCACCGAATTTTGGGGTGTTTTGTCCTTACCGAGAAGCAACTTAAATGCAAAGTCGCTGAATCGAGTTCTATACAATTCGGTACTTTGAAGTCCTAGGGGGTGAAGACTGATTCATATAAGAGATTCACAGTGGATATCTTAATGAAAGGGATTCTGTGAGGGCGGGGTATATTCGAGAAAAAGAATGCGAAGCCGAGCGCCACACCGGCCGTAGCCAACCGTAAACCCTAAACCCTAAACCCCATAAACCCCTAAACCCTAAACCCTGTAAACCCCTAAACCCTAAACCCTATAAACCCCTAAACCCTAAACCCGATAATCCCTAAACCCTAAACCCTATAAACCCTAAATCCTGTAGAGACATGCATATACCCCTCAATTCACTACAACCCGAACCCAGACCAAGCCCCCGGGGTCCTCCTCAAACCCTATAACACCCTCTACTTGGAGGTTCATGGGTAGTTATAAGTAGGGTTATAAGTCCGTTAATGTGGGTTATGACTATAGTTACCCTAGTTATAACCCCACTTATAACTACCCACGAACCTCCAAGTAGAGCCCAAAAACGGAACCCAAAAAATCTTGCCCTGAGCCCTAAACCCAGACCCCTCAACCCCAAACCCCCTAAACCTTGAAACTCCTAAACCCCTACACCCTAAACCCTGAACCCCTAGAACCCGAAAACCTGAACCGCCAGAATCCCTAAACCCTAAACCCAAAAAAAAACTAAACTGTTTGGTCCTCCTACGATCCACCGCCAGGAGCAGCAGTTTGCTCCTTCATCGACAAAGCCAGCTGGAGGGGCCTGGTGGTCACATTGGTGGAAAAATTGGATTTAGGGGTCTAGGAGTTTAGGGTTTAGGGTTTACGGTTTCGGGTTTTGGGTATTGGGTTTAGGGCTTAGGGGTTTAGGGTTTGGGGCTTGGGGTGTAGGGTTTAGAATTTCAGGTCTTTGCGGGGGTTCAAAACAGCTTATAGGGGCCAGTATAGTGACCGGAATTTTTCGCTGAGGTTTCCGAGGAGTTTGCTGATTTGGCATCCACACAACCTCTCCACTCTCCTTCCCAGGCTTAGGGTAGTGGTGCGACTTGGAGACAGCTTTCTATCCCTAAACCCTAAACCCTAAACCCTACAGTCCTACCGAACCACCCAAAACCGTTTCCAATTTCGGAAAACTCTGGGCTCCCCACCGCCCCCAAAAACGGTTTAGAGTTTAGGGTTTAGGGTTTGGGGTTGGTAGTTTCGGGGTTTGGGGGAAACTGGCCGTCAGGTTTGGAGTGACTTTAGCGATGCAAGAGGACCGCAGGGGGCTGAAGCCTTCCTCCGGATAGTTTAGGATTTGGGGTGTAGGGTTCAATGTGAATGTAGGGTTTGAGGTTTAGGGTGCAAGTAGGGTTTAGGGTTTAGGGTTCAATGTGAATGTAGGGTTTGAGGTGTAGCTTGGGTTTAGGTTTAGGGAAAAGGGCGAATGTAGGATGTGGGGGGAAGGGTTCAGGGTGAAAGTAGAAACCCTAAACCCTAAACCCTAAACCCTGAACCCTGAACCCTAAACCCTAAACCCTAAACCCTAAACCCTAAACCCTAAACCCTAGGGTTTGAGGGTTTAGGAGTCCGGGGTTTAGGCGGGCCGTTTGGCCTCAGTGGGCCAAAACATCCGTGACCGCCGAAGATCGAAACTCAAAGCCCCGATTGGTGGTTTAGGGTAGGGTTTAGGGTTGAGGGTTTAGGGTTGAGGGCTTATGGTTTAGGGTTTAGGGTGATCCGGAGTTGAAGAATGTTGCCTGTAAGACACTGCTCTAACATGCATGCATGCCAGGCGCCCAAAACCTGAAACTCAACAAATCGCTAGCACATCCCACGCCAGAGACCCTAAACCCTAAACCCCGAAGCACTAAAGCCTTATCCCTAAACCCTAACACCCCACATCCCTTACACCAATGCCTGAAATAGACAGAAACTCCCCAAGGCCACGGCTGCTGCTGACGACGCTCGACGACTTCCTTCCTGAGGGCCGTTGGGCGTGTTGGTTTCGGTTGAAGCAGGGTTAGACGATCTGTCTATCTATCGGTCTCTCTATCTCTCTATGTATCTACATTTCTATCTGTCTATCTATCTACCTATCTCTCCATCCATCTATCTATCTATCTGTCTGTCTCTGTGTCTATCTACCGATCTGCCTATCTATCTGTCTAACTCTCTGTCTATCTACCGACCTATCTATCTATCTATCTACCTATCTATCTATCTATCTATCTATCTATCTGTCTGTCTGTCTGTCTGTCTATCTCTCTGTCTATCTACCGATCTATCTATCTATCTATCTATCTATCTATCTGTCTATCTATCTGTCTATCTATAAATCTACATACATATACATATAAATATATATATATGTTATACATAATATATATATATACATACATACATAGTATATATACATATACATATACCTACATATATGTATATGTGTGTATATATATATACGTGCAAATCAGTGACACTGGGGTTGTGGCTTGGAAATCAGGCTTCGGGGTTCCGCCGTTGCGAGTCCGGGTTCAAGAATCATTGCTTGGAGTTTAGAGTTTAGGGTTTAGGGTTTAGGGTTTGGAGTTTAGAGTTTAAGGTTTAGGGTTTAGGGCTTGGAGTGCCGGGTTTGGAGTTTGGAGCTTGGGATATACAGTTTTCCTCTCTCTGCAAGCGTATAGGGCCCAGGGTTTACGAAAACCTATGCCACAACAGTGCAAACCGTGGACCCCCGGTTCGGGTTCCTAGCGTGGGACGGAAGCATACCTGCTCCAATTTGGGATGTAGGGTTGTGGGCTTTTAGGGTTTTGGGATTCTTCTCCGTCCACCAATCCGGCATCCAGAATACCCTGGCTTGCAGAAGCTGTGTGCAAAGTCAAAAGGGACCTCAAACCAAGGCAAGCACCCATGCTTCTGTCGTTCAGGCGCTGCATGATAGCGATCTTGGGTGCTATCTGGGCTTTCATGCTTGCTGTGGTGCTGTAGGGCGGTACTGCACAAATTCCTGACGCTCGTCGGCCTCAACTAGAGTTGCAAATCGCCGCAGAAATTGTTAGCCTTCGCAGCAGAGGATCTGTTCTGAAGGTTCTCTGGTGTTTGGCTACGACTCCACCTGTCAAACCCTAAACCCGAAACCTAAACCCTGAAACTCTCTGGCTGGTTACAGTACTGGCCCGTGGCCGGCAAATCATGATAAGAAGCTCCATACAGCTTAAGGGGCTTAGGGGGTTTTTCGGTTTAGGATTTAGCGTTTAGGGTTACTCCGCCGAGTCTCCAAAGCTCGCGCTCGTGCTTCACGCGCTCCAACTGGGATTCGATGTGCCTGAGTGGGTTTGGAGGGCAGAGGAGGATCAGATCTGAAGCCCTAAATTCTGACCCTGGCCGAAGACTGACATCATGAAGTACCTACCTACCTACCTACCTACCTACCTACATGCATAGATACATACATACATACATACATACATACATACGTACATACGTACATACGTACATGCATACATACACATACACATACACATACACAGACACAGATACAGACACAAACACCTTCACATACGCATACGAATACGCATACACATACTCATACAGATACACATACACGTACACACACACACATACACAACACACACACACAGATATACACCTACACACATACACACATACACACATACACACATACACGCATGCGATCCTGCCTATGCCGTGCAACTATCTGAACCTGCATCGCTTAGCCAGAGACTCCAAAACCCCATTATGTTTCAAATCATATTCAGGATCACCGTATAGTTTAAACGTAGATTCTTTGAATAAGGCACCAGCCCCAGAAAAAACAAAGAAAGAAAACACCCTGAACTGAACCTGTGAAGCCGGGCAGCCAAGCCGGTGTTACGAGGAAAGGCGAAACCGCTCGTGGGGGCCGATGATTTTGAAGGTTGGGACAGACTTGTTGGGGTTTGTGGGGCGAAAACAAGTCTGGGGAAACAGGGTCCCTTCGCAGCCAGGTTTTCCAGATCGCCCCGTCATCAAGATTGGTGTCATCATTGTTATCACCATCGTCACCATCGTTATCATCATCGTCATGACCCTCGTCATCATCATCGTCATCATCATCGTTACCATCATTGCCATCACCATCGATATCATCATTACCATCATCATATTCCTCATCATCGTTATCATCCTCGTCATCAGGATGTTGAGCTAAGGGTTTTTTCCGGCCGGAGCCTTCATTGAGGGGTTTGCTGGACTCTCCGGGCAAGCTGGCTCCTAAACCTCCGAAGCTGATACTCAACGCCCCAAACAGCAAAACACCGAGAAGTTCATCCCGCATCCCTCGAGCGTGTTGTAGCCACAGCGGCTGCTGTGAGATCTGCAGGAGGCGAAGCACGCTGTGATCTGCCTGCCATGTACAGCTTTTGTGGTCATCAAAGTAGCACTCGTCGCCGCCGAGGCAGGAGTAGAGTGTAGAGCAGAGCAGCACAGAGAGGAAGAAGAGAAGGGAAAGCAGTCCTATGACAGGTTTAGGCAGCCGGATGCCCATTCCAAACCATGGACTCTGAACGCCCGAAACTAAGAAAGAAACTCGCCTTCTTGGCCACCATGTCCAGAACGTTGCGGAAACGCTGAGAACAGCGCTGGCGCCAGGCCTCTCCGGGTACCGCTGTGGGTCTACAGGGTATGGTTTCATTCGTACGACCTCCGGTCGTATGGATTGATGATGGGGTCTTGGTGCTTCTGCTGTGGGGGTTTGGGATTTAGAACGAATAGCTTATCCTACACCCTAGACTCTTGGGTTTTCTGGAATTGAGCGCCCCGAGCTGCAGATTGCTGGGATCTGGTTCTCGAGGTTCAGGGCCTTGGATTTGGGGTGTGGCCTCGAGTTTGCGCTTCAACCTAAAGGGGGCTACAATGGAAATAGCTATGGGGTTTTGTGACATATTTTAGGTTCATTTGGTGACCAAAAGTGATACAGTACTGATCACTCCTCGGGTACTGTGGTCCAACGCCTTGTCCACGCGGAAGGACATGTTCTCGGCACACTCCTGCAAGGGGCTCCCTTCACCCTGAGCACTTAGCCTGAGTTACCCGAACGACCCGAATTACCACAATTCCCCAGCTTCAGCCTGAATGCTCAGCTTAAGCCTGCACAGGTCCAAGAGCGTGACACAAATTACGAACGGCATTGAAGTCTTACCTAGAAGTAAACGGTAGTTATGGTGTATGATTACAGCCATTTACAGGTAAGTGCATGTCTGGGTACAAGTATTCCTTCATAACTCTGTATTGACACTACTGTCGATAATAATACATAGATATTTCTAGTCCCTAAACCCAACACGTTTGAGCCCGGATGCAGCAAACAACGCCGTTGTTCTTTGTGTCGCCACACCCACGACTCTACAACACGCGTCCTCGTTCACATTTCACACCACTCCTCCCTTGAAAATTGACAGATCTGAGGCCACCAAGTAGCTTGTCCCTTTGAACACTAAAGGTTGAATTAGTTAATCACGAGGTTGAAGGAATGTTTGCCTGGAGGGCGTCAAGTAGCCTGTACTAGCTGCTCAGCTCTACTAACTAACCATGAAGTTGAAAGGCGAAACCTCGGTCCACTGAAACCTATACACCTACCGTGGACATTCGGTCGACACACCCCCAAACCCTAAACACTAAGCTCCTAAACCCTAAACCCCTTGCTGTTCTGGTTACTCTGAACCCGGAGGAATCTCCCGAAAGCCCTTACCCTTGGCTTGACACGGGGAAACCTGACTGCTCTGCAGCCGAAGCCCCAGTTTCATCGTCAAGAACCCCAGAAGCCTTCTGTGGAAACTAAAAAACTGCAACGGTAGATGAAGAACTGGTGGATAGTCGGCCTTGGCACTGCTGTTGTTGTTGTTGCTGCTGCTGTTCTGGTGGTGGTGGTGCTCAGAATATGATTCATAGCAGCAGCAGCAGCAGCAGCAGCAGCAGCAGCAGCAGCAGCACTGGCAGTAGCGGTATGCGGAGGCGACCCTAATAATAACCTAAACCCTAAACCCTTATAATAGCTATAAACCCTTATATTGCCCTATAAACCCTAAAACCCTGTAATACCCTATAAGCCTTTATAGCTCGCTCCTCCCATCCCAAGAGCTCCACGTCTGCCTCGCCCTGGTCTGCCCCTGCACTCTGGAGGCTGGATTTGAGATTTCTGGCCTAGGCATTTAGGGCCTTGGGGTCTCAAATTGTGGTAGGTTTCATAGTTTCCTCCATGAGGAAGTCCCGTTATTTTCTATAGGTCCCGATCCTGGTAGTCCCCTAACAAGAGCGCAATGTATTGAGAGGGCTTAGGGTTTAGGGTTCTTGCATCAAGGCCAAGGCATAGCTTCTCTGAGGTCGTCTGCCAGAGCCGGGAGCAAACTCTAGGAAGCTCCACCCCTTTTTCCGGTGCAAGGGTTGGGTGTAGCCAACACCAGATCGGCGACTCTTGACGTAAGTTTAGGGGCGAGGGGGCCTCTCAGTATAAGGCTTGATGGCTCAGAGCCTAAACGCTAAACTGCTAAACCCTAAAGTTTAAGGTTCAGGGTTTCGCGGCCTGTGAACCCCAAACCAGTGGAACCCTGAGTCCCGAGCTTGTCCACGAAAGCCCGACACAATACCCAGAGAAGCGTGAAGAAAAACTAGATCATACCCTATACAGCCTAAAGTCCCTAAATCCTAAATTCCCTAAATTCCCTAAATTCCAAAACCCTAAATTCCCTAAACCCTAAACCTGACAACAGTCGGGCCGTGGGCCTGTCAGAGCCAGGGTTCAGGATTTAGGGGCTCAAGGAAGGGTTTAGGGTCTAGGGTTTTATCATTAGGGTTTGCCGTAGAGTGGCGCATAAACAGAAGTATCTAGCGACAGCGCAGTTTCGAGTGTATGGTAGTTTGACGATTCCCCGCTGGAGCCCGAAACCGCCCAAACCTATTCCTTTCAGGGTTTAACTCTAAACTCATTCCATGGCTTTCTTCTTTATCTCAAGCTTGTTCATGCAGTAAGAAGTAAGAGCATGGCAAGGCAGTGGCAGGGCAGGGACTGGGTCTTGAGGAGAACCTCCGGACGTGGGTGCTACCGTCCCCATAGCTGTGGGGAGGCGTGCAAGCGCCGCCCACCCACGGAGGTGGGCGGCCCAAGGCTTGAGCTTAGGGTTTAGAGTTTAAAGCTTAGGGTTTAGGGTTTTGGGCTTAAAGTTGAGGGTTTAAAGTTTAGGGTTTAGGGTTGAGGTTGTTCTGTCGCTATCATCCGCCACTGAGAAGATTCAGCAGCCGCTGCAAACCGAGAAGTCAAACAGCTCGGAGTTACCAGCAGTTCGCTCTTGCCCTCCTGGTAAGCCTTCTGCACTCTCACAGCGAACATAATTCGTCGCTGCCGGCTTATGGCTTCCCACCAGTCTTTGTTAACCGGTACTTCCATCACGACACTGTCCCCCATCTCTGTCGAAATGACCACCTCGTTTGCGCGGAGGCCATCTTGAAACCAGGATGCTGCGTGCGAGTGCGCCTGTCGTGCTACCTATACGGCAGTACGCGCCACTGCCAGTGTGTACGTCCTCCTGCCATGCTGCTAAATGCTGCCGTCCCGTGACTATGCCCAGATGAGGGGCGGGAGGGCTTCAGATGTTGAGGACTCGGATTTTGGGCTTAGGGTGTGAGGACTTGGGTTTTGGGGCTTGGGGACGGGGGCTCGGGGTCTTTGGGATTTAGGGAAGTCCGGCCTTTGGGCATCTGGGGCTTCGCAAGATCGAGCCAAACCCGGAACTCTAGAACGCTGCCCCAAACCCCCAAACCCTAAACCCCAAGGGACCAACACCTCGAAGGATCAAAATCCTTAATCTTGAGATGACTCTGAGCTAGACATCCTGGAGCCCTGCATCGACATCCCCGGCCCAGAAACCAGAAACCCACCTTCGGCATCATCGAACTTCGGTCCCGGGAAGACACCCACGACTTGGGCAAACTTCACGACACCCTGTCGCGGGAACGGGGTGTTGGCCCGGGGGGTTCAGAGGTTTAGAGTCTCGCGGGTTCCAGGCTTGAAGCCTTGGGAACTTCGAAACATCGTGGTAAGCTAGAGCGTCAGGAAGACAGACTCTCCAAACGAAGAACCACCCTAGAGCCCTAAACCCTAAACCCTAAGCGCTGAACCAGCTAGAAAAATCACCCTGCGATCGAGGTAGCCTTTCTACGAGGTTCACGGCATTTACGGCTTGTGGACTTCAACTCTTTGGGCTCTGGGCTTTGTGGCGTTGGGGTTTAGGGCTTAGGAGTTCAGTGCTTGCAGAGTTTTGGGTTTTATGGCTTAGGGTTTAGGGTTTTCTGAGCCTACTCATTTCGGCTTTGAGCTTAACGACCTAAGGATTTCGGGTTCAGAAGACAAAACAGAAAACCCGCCGCCTGCCACGCCGGAGTTGAAGGCTTTAGTGGTTGTGGGTTTAGGGTTTAGGGTTTAGGGTTTAGGGCTTAGGGTTTAGGGTTTAGGGTTTAGGGTTTAGGGTTTAGGGTTTAGGGCTCTAGCTTTAGCATGGATTTCTCTGGCATTGCAACTTCGGGCTGGAGCTACAGAAGCGCCAAAAAGCAGATCGCCTAACGCCCTGGGCCCCTGGGGCCGACCATAGACCTTAGAGGCACTCAACCCTCAAACTAACTCTCTACGATTTCAAGCTCCCACCCTCCCTAAACCCTAAGCCCTAAACCCTAAGCCCTCAAGCCTAAACCCTAAACCCTAAGCCCTCAACCCTAAACCCAAAACCTCCGAACCCTCCGACCCTCGTGAGCGCGGCGGTGCAGTGCTTCAGATCTTCGAAGGGCTTCTCGTTGACCTCCGAGCCCCCAGCAAGCTCGAAACCCAGACTCCCAACAGGTTTAGCGTTTAGGGTTTCGGGCTTAGGGTTTAGGGTTTGGGATTTAGGATTTGAGGTCTGGGGTTTCGGGTTTAGGGTCTGGGCGCTAGGGTTTAGGGTTTGGGGTTTAGGTGCCCGACCCGACCTGCATGTTGAACGCTTCAGAGCCAAAAAACAACAAACACCTAGGATGCAAACTCGGAAGACTCCAGCCATAAACGTTTGCAGCCCTCAACCAGACCCCTGAACGCTGAAAATCCCAAAGCCCCAAACCCGGCAGCTCCTGCACTCACCGGGTACCTCAACACTTGAAGTCTCTGTCCCTAACCCCTAAACTTCCTAAACCCTTCAAACCCTTCCATTCCCTCAAACCCTTCAAACCTTTCAAGCCCTAAACTGAACAACCCCGGGCCTGAGTGGCTCTTGCGGTACGTTATACTGAAAGGGAAATATGGGGAAGTGCTTCAGGCTGCACATCCGTTAGGGCGCAGCGGCCAACACCCCATCGATTGAAACCGCTCTGTAGGACAAGGGATTTGGGTTTAGGAACTTAAGGTTCGTTACGGGTCTACGCCTGGTTCACGCAGCCCTAAACCCCAAGCCCCAAACCCCAAACCCAAACCCCTCAAGAAGATACTGTTGATGATATAAATCCTGCATTACCTCAAGGACCCTAGACTATGGGAATTATGGTATACTCCTTATTAGGGGTAATGCAGGATTTATATCATCAACCATAGAGACCTGAGATCCTGAAACTTTGAATTGGGTCACCGCGGGCCTTGGTGTCCAACACATCGTGGACGGCGTCCATTTGGGCCTGCCATAAGGCGGCTGAAGCTGTGGACTTCCAGTTATCGGTTTCTTTGTGGCTTAGGGTTTAGGGTACAGGGTTTAGGGCTTTGGGTTTAGGGTTTAGGGCATGGGGTTTATTTAGGGTTTAGGGTAAAGCTCAAAGGGTTTAAGGTGTGGGGCTTAGGATTTAAGGAAGAGGCTGCGTGGGGCTTAGGGCATTTGCCCAGACCTGACCTTAAGCTACGAAGGCCTACAGCTCACACCCATCAGAGGTCTGCCCCCAAGGGCCTTCCAGTTCTGCTCATCCATGTTGCGCTGCTTCTCCTGCGACCGGTGACGGACTTTACAAGCAGAACTTGAAGAGGCCCCGTAGAAGATGTGCGGAGTTGTACGGAATTCGATATGCTCTCCAGTGTGAAATGCTTCTCATTGGCGCGACATGCAGTGAAGACCTTTGAGTTGCATGTGGCAAGCGGAGTTATGTTGGGTCTTGAGGCTTGTTACTAACATAGTTGTAGTAAGGAGCTCTAAAGAATAGCTTTTGGTAAAAATTCGACCACTACATCAAATTCTAGTACGGCTCGTGGCTTCCTCTGCTTCAGGCTGCGCACGACAAGCCCGGGAGAAAAAGCAGCTGGATAAACATGTCATCCTGGTTGCGTTATTCGTTGCAGTCAAGCGTGACGGGCAGCATGGGTAGCTTAACGCTCCACAGCTGCCAGCGAAGCTACACCACATGATCACTCCCTGGACGAAGATAGAAGCCTCTTTCCAAAAGCACCATCTACCGCCAATGTCCTCTGTGCATCATCGATAACCTATAACTGTGCCTATGAAAACCGGCATCACAGGCTTCTCCGCCTGCACCAATGCCTTATTAAAACGCCTTCCTCTAGGTGCGCATGTAGACCGACGACAACAACAACGACGATGCCGAAGACTCCTGCATCTTCAGACGACAAAACCAAAACGTGCCAGTAACCTGAATTATGCTGCTGCTGGATGCTCAACTTCTATCCTGAACCCTAAACCCTAAACCCAAAGCCCTAAACCCTACGCTTGCAGCAACGGTTTGGGTTTTAGGGCCCGTAAACCTCAAAGAGGCCAGAAGTCCCCGAGGTCCGAAGGCGTCGTCGACATCGGGCTTTAGGGTTTGAAGTCGGAAGCCTGCAATACTTGGAGGTTCATGGGTAGCTCTAAGTAGATTGAGGGTTTAGGGTTTAGGGCTTAGGGTTTAGGGGTTGTAAGTCCCCTAAGATGGTAACTATAGTCATCCTTCTTATGGCCCCACTTCTAACTACCCATGAACCTCCAAGTAAGGCCGTTGCAAAATGGAAATCCGGCGTGAAACCCTTCCCCCCGGGCTCCATCTTGCGGACGGCATCGCTGTTCTTTTGGATGTCCACCTGCCAACTGGCCATCAACCCAAACCCCGCAACCCTAAACCCGCAGGTCCTCACGTCTGATCTGTAAATCTCCTCCTGCAGCGGAACTGCTTGGCAGCTAGGTACACCCCTAAACCCTAAACCCTAAACCCTAACCCCTCAACCCTAAACCCGAAACCCTAGGTTTCCCAGTCGCCCCTTCATAAAAAGGGTAGCCTTGTTCCTAGCATTCGATTTTTCATAAGGAAGCCCCAACCTAAGTAGCGTCTCTGACCTTCCTTCGGTACCAAGGCTTCGCATGTAGCTACGGTTTAGGGTTTGGGGTTTAGGGTTTGGGGTTTAAGGTTTAGGAGTTTAGGGTTTATAAGGGTTTAGGGTTTATAAGGATTTAGGAGTTTAGGGTTAGCTTTGCGGGTTGACGGTTGAAGCTTCTTGGCGGCTTTGGGAGTTTGGCGCCCAAACAACACTCATGGCAACAATCATCCGCGCTGAACCCTGAACCCTTATAAACACTAAACTAAACCCTAAACCCCAACCCTAAAACCTAAACCCTTAATAAACACTAAACCCTAAACCCTAAAACCTAAAACCCTTATAAACCCTAACAACCTTTATAGACCCTAAGCCCTAAGCCCCCAACATCATCCTCACCATCACCGGCATCATCAGACCTTCGACCCCGGGCCTGGTCGAACACTAAGACCCAGCCCCATCAAACCCTAAACCCCTCACCCTAAACCTTAAACCCTAAGCCTTAAACCCTAAAGCCCTAAAGCCCTAAACCCTAAACCCCTAAACCCCTAGACCCTAAATCATAAAACCCTAAATCTTAAGCCCTAAACCCTAAACCATGGACCGAAGGAATCGGGAGCATGGGCCTGACCGCTGCCGCTCTGCTTCAGTGGCTCTGCTTCGGGGTGAAGAAGGGCTTCGGGTTTGGGGTTTGGGGTTTGAAGAATTAGGGTTTAGGGTTTTGTTTAGGGGTTTAGGGTTTAGGGTCTATAAAGGGCTTTTAGGGTTTATAAGGGTTTGGGGTTTGGGGTTTGTTTAGGCTGTCAACACAGCTCTTGATCCCAAGCCCTCCACTCTAACCAAACTCCGAAACCCTATAACCCCTAAACCCTAAACCCTATAACCCCTAAACCCTAAAACCCTAAACCCTGGAACCCTAAAACCCTAAAACCCTAGACCGTAAACCCTAGACCCTGAACCCCAAACCCCGGAACCCAAAACCCTAAACCCTAAACCCCGAACCCAAAACACCTCCCTTTGAGGCCTGGTGGGAGCTAGACCCTAAACCCTTCGCCCCAAAAAAACCGGAGACCTCGTGGGAGGCGCTCTTCACCGTCAGCCCGTTCACCTCCTCCCGCAGCTTCAGGATGTCCTCGGAGCACTTGGAGGTTCATGGGTTTAGGGTTTAGGGTTTCGCGTTTAGGGTTTAGGGTTTAGGGTTTAGGGCTTCGGGTTTCGGGTTTCGGGTGTAGGGTTCAGGGCTTAGGGCTTGGAGGCCTCGGGATGTCCTCGGAGAGTTTTTCAGGCTCGGGATGTGGGCTGTAAGATTTCGGGTTTGGGGGTTCGGATCGGAGGGTTCAATTTAAGATACGCAGTGACTAACGGAAACCGAGGTGCATACGGTTTGGGGTTTAGGGTTTGGGGNNGTTTAGGGTTTAAGGTTTAGGGAGCAATGACAACAGGAAGAAGAAGAAGAAACGAATACTCAGAGTAGCAGTCACTGCAGTAGCAGCTGTCACAGCAACAGTCGCAGAAGCATTAGCAGCGATACTAGTAGTACTCGTCGTCATAGTGGGTGGTACTAGTAGTAGTAGTAGTAGCAGCAGCAGCAGCAGCAGGAGTAGTAGTAGTAGTAGTAGTAGCAGCAGCAGCAGCAGGAGTAGTAGTAGTAGTAGTAGTAGTAGGAGTAGGTAGTAGTAGTACTA